GTATCTTATATCCTTTTCCTGGCTCTAAACTACCTCCCTGCCAATTTTCAGCTACATCGTTTCAGCCGTTCTTGAGTTATAAGTGGAGTAACTAACACGAATTTCTTTTATATATATAATATATAGATTTAATGAGATCTAAGATTTTCGCGAGTATTCATTTAAATGAAACTAATATTTTCGAATTTACTACGCGATTTTTATTTTTGATTATAAACTACATACTCCCGACGTTTCAGTTACTTTACATCAATCGTGATAACGGTACGTCGGGAACGTCGGGAGTATGTAGTTTATAATCAAAAATAAAAATCGCGTAGTGCATCCGAAAAATATTACTTTCATTTATAATTTATTTATTCCGTCGTCTCACTTCGAACTCTTAGTAAAATATACAAAAAAAATTACGTATACAAACAAAACTGACGAAAACAACTTAAGTTAATGAATCGTTAGTTAAAACTCCGTATTAATTCATCTTCCGTTACGTAATTCTTACGGAAGATCACAATATATATATTTTCTAACTTAAAATAATTTATATTGAACCTTAAACTAACAATAAATTACTATCACTCTATCAAACTATTATTGTGTAGAAACACTAAAGATGTTACAAATTTGAGAAGCTAAGACAAGCTTCGAGAAGAAACGTGAAGAATTTTATGCAATTAAATTGCAAATTGCAAACAATTTATTCATATATCACAATATAATTAAATTTTGTTATACATTCAACTAATGATGATTAGAATTTTTCTAATTATGAATTTAAGTTTGTACTTAATTAAGTACGTTATTAAGGCATAATTAAACTCTAATTTAATTACTGTTATGTGTAGTGCAATTTATCTTAATATATATAATTAATATATTATGGGTAATATATTAAACGATTAATAAAGAACTGTTAGTGATAACTTGGAAATGTATAAAATGGTCTTTGAAATGGATTGAAGTCAAAAGTAAATACATACACTGATGTATTATATAGTAAATTAGTTTATTTTATAATTAAGTTCAAAATGTTTCTGGAAATATAATATAATTAATAATATTATGTTTTTTTTAATATAAATCTGTTCGCAGTGTTTAATACAGCCATCACAATTTCACTTGAGACGCCACGGCTTAGTTAAAACTAGGCAATATAGTTTTAGAGTCGAGTAGATTTATATAGAAAATAAATTATATACCTAAATATGTTAAAATTAGTAAAATTCAAATTATATTTCACATATTATAAATCATTTTTTGGTCACACTTCTTCGCTCGCGTCAATACTTCCGCGCTACAGTCTCATTGAATCAAAAATTATCTGTTTCATGAAATTCGTGTCATGTTAATTTTTATTCATGTTTTGGTCGACTATTTTTGTTGAAATTCAAACAGAAAGACAGACGAATAACATCAAAAAGTACTATTTTATATATGTACAAGTAAGAAACAAACAAACACACTTTAAAGTTACAATTGCATGGCTTAAGATTATAATTAATAAAATATTTATACTTCTTTACGATTCCAATAATAGATATTTTTATTGTTAATTAATTTATAATAAGTATTATAATAAGTTTTAGTCATAGTATTATCACCACTTTTTTGTAAAAACATTTTAAACTGAATAAAATATTACGTAATTTATTTATATACAGTCGAATTTTAGTACGAAAAAGTCAAACACTCTTTGAGAATACTTAAATATCTACGTTTGAACCCATTTAAAATGTTCGGATTTTACTTACCCCGTTGTAAATATTTAGAGAGTCAAATATATAGAATTAAAAAAAATATCATTGGAAAAAAACAGACTTACATTTTTTAACTTGGATTTATTTTGAGAATATTTTACATGAAATTTCATTTCGTTATATTTTTTCGTGTATACAAAATTTATATTTACAAAATTCATATCTCTACAAAAATAAAAAAGTAATGTACTTATACGAAAATTGTAACTTTAAATGTTTTTCATCATCATAATATAACAAGGATCTATTTCTGGAAATCTATTATCATTTAGTATTCAATCAGTTTCAGTTATTATTCGATAAATCTGGTAACTGTACGAATTGGAACTCAGTTAACAACTTAACGGGAAACGTTAAGTTTAGCTGCAGTTAACTATTATAATTAATCAATGAAGCTAAAATTTCTAGTTAAGTTTATTTTACAGTAATCGTCTCGTCCGGACGAGATTGAAGATCATATTTGATTCCAAATAGAATGGAAACTATTACTATACATTTATAAGTATAGATAATTACCGTTATTTATTTAAGGATTAATTCTAAATATAAGTAACAATTTACGGAAAACCTTTTATGATAAATCCTTATTAAAAATTCAAAGTTACTCCGAGTGGTTTGAGTTCAGTTGGATTAGATTTTTACGTAAACAGACGTTGTGTTATAAAAAATGAGATGTATTAAGAAAAATCGTTTCTAATATAACAAAAGATAATATAACAATTCAATGAAAGAATAATAATTTCATAGGTAAGATTTGAACCCGTGACCCTGCGTTTCGGTTGCTTTTCCAACTAAGCTATCGCGTCCTCACTTAATTCATTCACTTTCTTAGTCTTGGCGCGATGATTGGAATGCTTGATGCGTTAGGTAGCAAGTTCGAGCCTGGTTATCAATAAAAAAACATTGATACTTTATATTTTCTACTTCAATTCCAATCCAATATTAATAAGATAATTGTAAGAACGAGAAAATATTAAAATAACATGAGATCTCGTCTGCCCGTGATCATGGTTGCTGAAAAGTAACCGAAACGTCGGGAGTATGTAGTTTGTATGTATGTATATATGTATGTCTGTATGTTTCATCGACTAGAGAAAGTCTTAGAACTCATTATATTAAAACAATATAAAAAAATCTATGTCACCTTACTAACTGAATTTTATCGGCCTTTCATACGATAGATAGTGAAAAACTAAATTATACATTCCTCGTATTAAATGAAAACAAATAAATGAAAATAAATAAACGAACCCGAACATTATTACGATTGAATGCAATAATCAACAAAAGTTTATTTACGAAAACTATGTACAATTAAACGAAATTTATTGTAGCATACATTGTTGTATGTATTTGATTTTGGGAATATATTTTTTATTTCATATATTCATTTAACAAAGGATTTCAGATGACATTTTTTCTTGTGTATATAATGTATATTTTCGGTTTTTTTTTAAACAAAAAATCATACAAATATTTTATGTGAATAATATTAAGATACCAAAAATATCTATATGAAATATGGGTAGTATTTAAATATGAAAGTCGAAATTGCATAGACTTGAATTTAATTTTTCCTTTACATTGGGGTTAAAAAGACTAAGAGTTCTTAAAAAACGTCATTAAATATGAATCGCACTACCATACAGACGTTTGAGAATATTTTACTCAAATAATTGAAACGAAACAATCAACAGATTAATGAAAATATCTTTTCATTTGTAGTCTTAAAACGACTTTTCATAATCACACTACATACATGGCGTTTCCAGTATTTTATTCCTAAACCTACTTTAATACCATCAAAAATTAAGTAACAGTGGGACGATAACTTGTAATAAGGATACTGTAGACTAAAATAATCTCATTTAAGTTAATCCAATATGACAGTAACAATTACTATGATTAAAAAACAAGTCCAATATGTAAAATTAGTTACAAATAAAATAAATAACAAGCTATTTTAATTAAAAAAAAATACGGATAGAATTTGTCCAGTTATATATATCGGAAAGCTGATTAAGAGATATTGTCCTTAATGAATCATGGGACTGATGTCAATAAACCCAAATCGAATCCACAAAATGTATAATTAAAATACAATAGGAACATATAGAAAATTGAAAACTCTTTATATAACCTCGGTTAAATTTATAAGCGATGTTTTATCTCAATATAATACAGTGAATTAGGCCAAACAATTTACTTGTTAAAATGTTTGCCAAAAATAGAATTGCATCTTATCAGATCGGAATGGTCTGTGTTCGTATTAGTGACTTTATTATTTAAAATGTTACAGATGTGATTTAAATACATCTGGTCTGAACGTGTTTGTGTATTCGTAATTACAACCTTATGATATAAGCTATAAGGTTTTAATCACGAATCATTATTGCTTAAAAAAATATTAATATTTTTAGATTACATACGTCGCGTTTTTTTAATTATAAACTATATATTCTCGACGTTTTGGTTACTTTACAGCAACCGTGATCACGGACAGACGAGATGTGAGTGTCTGTTAATTGATCTTGTAATTTTGTCATCCATCACCAACGATCTACTGCACAGTACCCGAAACTTTGGAAGTATGTAGTTTAAAATAATAAAGAACGCGTATGTAATAATCCGAAAATATTAATTTTATTTAAATGAATACTCCCGAAAGTGTTAGACTTCATTGAAAAACTACGTCATAGCGAGCGGTACTCTCATTTATTTAACAAAATAATAAAATATGAGCTTATGTAATGAACATATTTTATGATTTTACTATAATCATATTTTTAAAAGTTTTTGTATTCCTCTGTTAATAAAATGAAGATTTGTAGATACATAGAGCTGTATATAAATATTAAAAATTAAAAATTTTATTTGAATATAATAACGGAAGTAAAAGGCCACACGCTAAACATTTATAATAAACATTTTTAAGCATTTATAAGGCTAAGGTCAAATGTAAAATAAATGAACATTCTGTCAATTTAATACACGTCATATTGTATATATCGTCTCCGCTTACAAACAGAGTATAAAACGGTTCTGAAAATGTGTTAAATTTTTACTCATCTTATTTGTATTACTAAAAAAACAAGGGCTCCTTTTGATCAAATAACAAGGACTTCTTTTTACCGCAAACAAATTAATCCCTAATTAAAAGTACACACAATACAGGCGACGTAAATACGAAAAGCGTAATACTATACGAATGTATACTAAAAAAGTCTTAGAAGTATTAATACATACCTGATACTTCTTGATTGAATCAACTTGTTCTCTGGTTAGATCGTGAGCAGGGGGCCTGGGAGGGGCATCACGAGGGGCCTCGCGAGGGGGGACTGCTGGGGCCCCCTTAGCTGAACCATTAACCTACAGACATAACATGAACATTATAATAAACGTATAATTATAACAGTTTCAGGGTTAAAATGTAATAATCCCATGATACAGCAAAACAAAGGCCCCTTATTACAAAAAAATCTACAAACCACCCTCTGATATACTATTTTATTTCATTAACAAAATTTCAACACCAATACCCCTTCGAATATTACAATATTTTATAGAATTACTTCGATAAAAAGCCAGTTAATCCAATAATAATAGTATCCCATATAAAACATGCGGAATCCAGATAAATTAATTGATATAAAAAAATATTTATTCATGCATAATAACCCTTGGAATATTCAAAAATACGAGATTAATAAAAAAATATACAATATTTGTTAAATCAAATACTTAAATATCCAAAAGCACCTGAAAACAAAATTATTAATACCACCTGAAAGAAAATGCACATATTATATATAAGATATATAGTTCAGAAAAAAATATTATATAAATAACAATAGTAAAAAATAATCTGATTTACAATACTGTAATTTGAAATCTATATAATAACAAAGTTGGCAGTACATTGAATTAAAATATCATGAAATTTTTATTATATAAATAGTTTGTACGAACTATGAAGTATTCTATTACGAAATCCGTTTTAATGATATATAATAATGATGGGGAAGTGTATTAGATTGTATGTCTGATCGTTAAGATTATATTGCGGCCATAAACACACTGCTTTGCACAATATTGGTCCACGGAAATTGTGACACAATCAGTGTATATCAAAATATTTATATGTATATATGTAAACAAATATAATTATTATGATTTCATGTTATTTTTAATGAATATAATATGATTAATCATTGTTAGTTTCTAGAGTGCCCACATGCGGTTTTTATGCAATAATAAAATTTTATAATAGTCAATTCTATGTCAAAAATTTTAAATAGTATAGGTTGTTTAAGGTTAGTGTATAACAAATGAATGCTTTTATCAAAACATTAGTAAATAAATATCCACAATGTATAACCTCCACCTTAAACCAGATGTCGTTCTCATGCTGGTGTTACCTGAAATGTCTTTCTGTCGGCGGTGTTTGGATATTTGGGAGTAGTTTTCACTATCTGAACGAAACTATCAGGAACATCTACCGCCACTTCACGTCCAAGGAGCACGGGCGTCGTATCGAACCCTGGAGGCAGCTTATAAGAAGCGTACACAGCTTCTCTTATGAGTACTGAATCAGTCCTCGTGGAATACGTCACTCCCTCCTTACAATCCAAGAGAGAATCTTCGCCATTAGATATAAGCAGTTGTATTTTATGTGACAGAATAGAATCCACCGATTCCGACCTATCAGATGCTACGTCGCATTTCGCCGTTTCAGCTGATCCCTTGCTCTTTTTGCTGCCGAAACTTACCCCAGAACTATCAGAACTCTGGGGTAATGATAGTAGTTCCATTGTGCTGTTTATTTTGAAGCTGCCTGAACCGTCGGAGCTCGGGCCGGATATGTCGACGTTGCTTTGGAGGACGGTGCTCTGTTTGCTGCCGAAGGAAGTCCCCGAACCTCCTGATGATAAGAGGGGCTCATCATCCCTGGCACGAGGGCGTACCTGAGGAGGCCGGGGGGGCGGGTAGCGCGGGGGGGTCTTGTTCCTAGCGATGAAGCTGTCTGGAACATCCACCGCCATCTCACGGTGGGGCCCTGCAATATACGAACAATGATTTAATAATCAAGAAGATAATACTAATATCTTAATATAAAAATCATACAGGGATATCGCAGAACAATATAGAGAAAATATAGAGGAAATGAGGCCACTCCTTCCACAAGGTTCGTGCTTATAATATTTTATATTGGTAGTTTTAAAAATACCTTTCCTTGTAAGTCACTCCGTCTATATATTTACATAAAATTATGATAATAAAAATTTAATTTCCCCTCTATTATAATACAGTACATTGACTTTAAACTATATGTCATGTGATCATTGGAATGTAAAGTTATTAAAGTATATTTTGATAGCTCGCCTCAATTCACTGACCCGGAAGTGATGGGCCTACCTCTGACTTGTCCCCATATATGAATTAATAATATATTAGCTAAGCCTTTCAATATTAGATATAAAAATAGTATAACCAAATAAAAGCAATATAAATTATGGAGTTGTTATATATTTTAACACGAAATGTGAACTTATACCTCACTTAAAACATCTCCTTTGAAATATCTAGCGTCGGTTTCATAAATAAATAATGCTACCCGAGAGGACGTAGGAGACCTCATAAACAAAATAATCAAATATTCACAGTGAAATTCGAAAGTACCTCATTTACATAGCCTTATGAACTGTGTGTATTGAAAGTTTGAGAAATCTAAACTCTACGACGTTTGTAACACACAACTGAATGAAATACATATAATATTAGAATAAAAAATACTTAATTATGCATACAAAATTATTTTCCAAATTACGAGTTAGTCTTTTTTACGCAAGGAAGACAAAACATAAGAAACATTTGATCAAACTGCACAATTATTTTATTTTCGTTCAATTGTTTGCCGAAGGTCACTTAGATCGCGGACCTGTTGTTAGTTGAACTATCTTTTTTAATAACAATCAAGTAATTTATAAGAGAGAAGTCTAAAATATTATAACTTAACCCATATGTAAAACTTAAAATATCTAAATTAAATAATAGGCCCGTTAATACATTATGGACTCGAATAATATAGAATGACTTTTTAAGTAGATTTTTATCTCCTAAATCAAAGTTCATGGGTAAGAACAGAATATTATTAAATCATGAATGAAAATATTTTATAATTTAAAATTATAAAAACGGAAAAATCTTCGGCACAACACTAGTCTTACAACTTGTTTGTGAATAGTCTTTTTTAAAGGTCATTTTGAAATTATGATAAATTTTCTAAACAATCAGATAATTGGCCAATTAGTGTTGTTGGGTTTTATGATTTTTATGAATATTTCGTCTTGTAAAGGTCGAGTTTAATATACCCCAAAAGTACTTTCTTACTTCGTTGTTAAGCTCTGACAAAAGATTATATCACAGAAAGCAAAAAAAAACACCCGCATAATCAAAGAAAAATAAATGTCACGTGAAATTTGTCAAAGTAAAACGAATGAAAAATGGAACAAAAAGGTAAAGTATAAACAGGGATTACTTTAATATTAGATGTAGCTATATTTAGGTTAAAAACATTTTTAAGGTTAATTAAAAAACGTCAAAGTTCACAAGAAAAACTGGACTGTATTTATGTTACAAAATACATATATGAAAGGTATATAATATAACCTTTTTAAATTCATATATATATATATATATCCGCAAAAGATATAGGGGAGAGTCGGATATATCGTACCACTTTTCACTTTAACTCAAATATTTCGACTATAACACGTCTTATAATAATTAATATATATGTAAAATAAAGTTTCATACTTTAGCTTCCTAAGAAGAAGAGAACAGATCCTTGCGATTATTCTAACATTGTTAAAAATGCTTTTTTATAGAGGCTTGCCATCGGTACGATTTAGCCGACTAGTCGTTTTAATCGTACCACTAAGTCTTTAAATCGTACCATGGGTGTTTAAGTCGTGCCACTGAATGAAAGACATTAAAATTCTCAATCAAATTATTTATTTTTGACTGTTAGGTAAGTAATAAAACAACATTATTTATATCTTTTAGGTAATAGAAACATAATTTTTAACTCTTAGGTTATATAAAGGAACTATAAGCTTTCTCAGTAAAATAACATGATTATACTATGATAATGAGGTCAATCAACATAACTAATAAAAATGAGACAAATAAAAAAACAGTAAACTATAATAATAAAGTAACAGTTAACAAGAATGTTATTTGTAATATAATTATTGTGCATATTTCTTAATGGAAACAATCATGACAAATGTTTTCAAAAATTCGAAGTACACGTCTCATGTAGCCACCGTTTACAGCGAACGCATTAAATCGAATCAACTTTTGGACCCTTCTTATCGTAGTAAGAACAATTGCACTTTCGACATATATTTTCAAGATAATCATCGCTGTCATCATCATCATCTAGTTCTACAACAAGTGTATCTCCTGAATCATCGCTACTGGTGATGGAATGAGATCGTTTCCTCTTATAACTTTTGTTTTTGGCCTTGGGTAATACTATACGTACTTGCGGTAGTACTATAGGTACTTGCGGTGGGTAGTCGGGTAAATCGTACCAGTACAATTTAACCAAGTGCAGGTGGTACGATTAAACCAACTAAGGCATTTCTAAAACAAAAGCAAATATCCGGCATAAACTCAAAACTTAGACACGCAACAAAAACCCCCAGTCATCTAGTATAAAATTGTGGAATAATAAAAAAAACTGAATAACTATAGCTTACCTTGATTACGAGTTAACTCCTTACGAATGTACGACAAAATTTATATTAATTCCTACAAAAATTGATTTTTTTTATTACGTGCACAGTTGCTAACTCACGTCGATTTAAACTAGTGGGTGAAGAGGGATGGTACAGGGCCACGATTTGGCGTTGTCAATGTAAAAAAAAAAATTCATTAAATGGGAAATTTAGAGGTGGTACGATTTAAATGCTAGTACGATATAACCAACTCTCCCCTAATCATTGGTAACTACTTATTTACATAATATAAACATAAAAATATTCTATCAGATTTTTTTAAATATAAGTTATAATAATAACAAGTCGATATGTCGATAAAATAAATTTTTCAAAAAATTTAACACACCATCGAAATAGTTAAAGTAAAAAATTATAGTAGTAGCGGAAGAATTACTAAATTATTTGAACCAAATAAGGAACCATAAAGTTAGAATATTATATTCAAAAAAGCTAATTTAGCCCTCAAACAAACTACTCTACATATACAAGTCTTGGAAAAACCGTAGCCAACCAGTTAACTACCACCATTCTCAAATGAAAAGTCCTTTTTTATAAAGGACATTCTACATTGGAGTCAAATTCCGCTCTATTCGTCTATATCACAAACTACCTCAACTGTCAAGGTCTTGGGAAAACCGTATCCAACTAGTTAAGTAGCACCTTTCTCAAATGAAAATTCCTTACTGATACAGCTCATCCTACATTGGTTAGTTTCCACTCTGCCCTTGTAAAATCCACTCTATGTTACGATATCTTAAAGGTGATAATCCCTTACCAGTATCGGAGGTGAGTGAGAGCATGGTGAGCATGTCTGTTTCGTCATCCGGCGGAGGAAGCTTCTCCTCTTCAGCTCCTAACACCACGATGCTGGAACCAGACCGTCTGCGAGGCCTGGAAAATTAAAACATAACATTTACATGCGCATCCAACTATTCCAGATCAAATAAGTAAGACTAAAAGACAAGAAGAAAAACACTTTAATACGTATATGCATTTCTATTTCTTTATAAGTTGCCGTTAAGGGCTTTCGATACAAAAAAGTATGAAACGAAGTTTTATTAGGGAAATTGTTTTAAGTTATAATATATAGTTGTTTGTTTCGCTCATGCATTCTTTATATTGGAGCCTAACTTTCATTTACGTTAAAATAATAAGAGTTAAGTAATATTTTATAAAAATATAAATACATATTTAATACTAGTTATCACTTTCATTCTTTTATCCAACACGACTGAATTTAGTGACTCAATTCTTATACTGAAGAATTATGTCAAAGATATTTTCAGAAGTTAAATCAGTAGGCCATAGCCTAGCTCCCAAAATAAACACCAACAATATATCAACTCACTAAAAGGTACTATAAGCTATTGTAACAAGAGATCCTAAACACCATTCCACTACAATAATTACGTCAAAATCTCTTTCAAATATCTACAGGTTTAACTTGTACATAATGTTTATTATTTTATAACTGGATTATCCTTAAAATTTCTTTTAGTACAAGCTAAATACAACTATTACCTTTGTTACATCTTTAGTGCTATATTTGATAACATTGAAATCGAATCGACCATAATGTCAATAATAAAACACAATAAAAAATGTACGAGGAAGCGCTTCTTGCATGTATAGTTTCGATATCATCTAAGGCCATGTACATAGAGACGAGAACAGCGTGGTCTTCATCAGAGCGAGGATGTCAGACGGAGCGGAACGTCACGCAGTGTGACCACCGCCTTATGTAACGGCCTTTGTATTAAAATTTGAATCTCACGTAACATGTTATCTTAATTGTATTCCCGATTTAAACGCGGTTACCGACGGCGACGTCTATGACTTATGGAAACGAGATTATTTACTGTTACAGAAAGAGTAAGTATTATATAAGTAAATAAGTAGGTAGAGAGTATGGTAGGTATATATATAATATTGTAGCATCTTAAAAGTATTATTTTCTGATTTCAACTCTACCCATTAGCAGGTAGAACTGCAGACGTAGGTATATATTTTCTCAGTATTAGCCTATTGAGCCTTCTCTTGAAGACACCCAAATTATAACTCTAAGGAAATATATTATGAAAGTACTAATAGATATAGGTAAGTAAAATAACTTGGTTGCTGACCGAGTTTTCTCAACTTATGATCAATCTGTTATTCCTTGCTTGATATTTTCTTCTAATCTTTTTAGTTTTCTTCCTTTACTTGAAGAATATTGAGAAATAAATCAAGCTTGTCATGGACATCCACCCAATCATGGACATCCTAGTTCCTATTATTAAAAATATATTCAATTACTCCATTTCTACTGGATCATTTCCCTCTTCCTGGAAAGATGCCCAAGTTATTCCCTTACCTAAAAAATCAAATCCCTCCCGCTTTTCCGATTACCGTCCTATTTCCATACTTCCTTTCCTATCTAAAGTATTTGAACGTATTGTGCATCGACAACTAAACCTTTTCCTATCTAGACAAAACCTCCTTAACCCTTTTCAATCTGGTTTCCGAATAGGTCATAGTACGACTACTGCGTTAGTGAAAATTACCGAAGATATACGCCTTGCTATGGATAATCAATGTCTAACAGCGTTGATCTTACTAGATTTCAGCAATGCCTTTAATAATGTTGACCACGAGCTCTTACTAGCTACATTATGCTCTCTTAACATATCTCCTGCAGTGATTGACTGGTTTCAAAATTATCTTTGCGGTCGCCGGCAACGAATTCGTGTTGATGATTCCTTTTCCAATTGGTGCACGATCAAGGCCGGTGTGCCGCAAGGTGGCGTGTTGTCTCCTCTCCTTTTTTCTATTTTCATTAATCGCATTACTTCTCAATTATCTTCTCTCTATCACCTGTATGCCGACGATCTCCAATTATATAAACATTCAAAATTAATCGATTTGCCTAGTACAATTCAAACATTAAATAAAGACCTAGAATCAATTGTACTTTGGAGTAAATCCCATGGACTTAAAGTTAATCCTTTGAAAACACAAGCAATTATAATCGGCAGTCAAAAACTAGTTTCCCGCATCGATTGGCCCCATTTGCCTGGTATAATTGTTGATGGAACACTTGTTCCATACAGTGAAACTGTAAAAAATCTAGGTGTTGTTTTTGATAAATTTCTGACCTGGACCCCCCAAGTAAGCGAGGTGAGCAGGAAGGTGTTTGCATCTATCGGGTCTCTTCGCAGATTGCGAAATTTTCTACCGATACCAACTAAAATTGTGCTTGCACAATCTCTCCTGCTACCGATTCTCGATTATGCTGATACCTGTTATCTCAATTTAAGTGAGGAATTGCTTAATAAACTTGAGCGCATCCAGAATCTTTGTATACGGTTCATATTTGGACTTCGTAAATATGACCATGTTTCAGAATTTCGCGAAAAACTCAAGTGGCCCTCAATCCGCCTTCGCAGGAATACTCACATTCTTTTCCTATTATACAATATCCTATTTAATCCTACCTCTCCCTCATACCTTAAAAAGCGCTTTGAATTCCTGAGTGATTCTCATTGTCGCTCTCTTCGGTCTGAAGATAAGTTGATTTTAAAAATCCCCTCCCACAATACATCCTTCTATTCTAAATCCTTTTCTGTGGAAGCTGTACGGCTCTGGAATTCCTTACCACTTTCCATACGGCGTGCTCAATCCCTAGCAATATTCAAACGGCTTTTAAAAGCAAACTTCTTCCCCCCTTAAATCTTGTCTACCTGTTTCCTTAATATTTATGATTTTTATTTTTCTATTTATTCTAAACTCCTACTCTGCAATGTATCTGGCTTGTATTTTTTAAATTTATAATAAATATATGTATATATATGTGTATGTATATATATGTTTGTATATATATATGTATGTGTGTATATATATATATATATATCTATGTATGTATATATAAATTATATATGTAGATTATTGTATATTGAATGTAGTATATATATGTTTTACTATATATATGTGTATAGTTTCGTATATGTATATTTCTCTCTCACATACATATGTACACCTCTAATGTCTTATTCTGTTTACTGTGTCCTACGTAACATGGTTGCCTGGCAGAGATCGCTGCTTAGCGATAAGGCCGCCAATTGTACATTTAGATTAAGTTTTGTACTGTTTAATTTATTTATTCTTTGGTGTACAATAAAGAATACTTACTTACTTACTTACTTGTAAGAACTGATACAGAATTTAACCAATTGTTGTCACGAAATAATCTGTAGTTTAATAGTTTGCAATAATTATCTTCAGAAAGTAAAAAATGATGTAATTTCATTGCAAAATTGAGAATAAGAATAGTAACAAACTTTTCATTTAACAACAAAATATTAATTATGATCTACAACAAAATAGTACACCATTTCTATCGTAATTTATTTAACTATTTATATAAAACTACTGTTGACTAATTACACAAATATCATCTTTACAATATTCATGATCACTAGCTAATATTTAATATAATCAAGGTTAGAATGGAAACCAAACAGTGCTAACATTCAATAAGAAAAAAATTATATTCCACACCAGATAAAAGTAATGAGTTCTCAAATAAAACAAAAAATGCAAAAAAACTAAAATAAAATAAATATGCTACATACAATAAAATATATTTTATCTCTTTCTATCTCTCCCTCTCTTTCATCAATGATTAACAATAAGTTTAATTAAATATCTTTATATATACCACTATGAAGTACATCTTCAATATGGACATCAATTTCTACATCTATGTATTGTCCTGACCTAGGTCAAGTTTACTCTGTATGGTGTATAGAAATATTGCTTTTAACTGATACCAGATATTGTATGGCTTTGTTGCATTATGTCTATAGACTTTATATTCGCAAGGTTGCTCTATATGTATATCTATTGTGAGGTCTGGCTTGATTTTAAATAAGACTTTTTAAATGAAACTAAAATTATTCGGATTGCTAATTGTATTTTATTAGTAAAAAAATAAATATCGTGATCACGGGCAGACGAGATGTTATCTCAGTTGCTGAAAAGTCGATTACTTTCGAACATCTAGAATATGTAGTTTTTAAAATAATAAAATTTACGTAGTAATCCGAATAATATAAGTTTCATTTAATGAATACTTGCGAAAGTATTAGATCTCATTAATTTTTTTTCTTTCTAGACGTTTTTCAATGTAAATTTCTATATATATTTAACCTACAATTTGTATAACAAAGAAATAACCAAATTAGTGCAAACTAATTTACGAAATTAACACTTCTATATTTGTCAATCGAGTAACAGTTGTTAAATCCGTTCATTAAATTTAGAAAGTGTAAAAATATTAAATAAAAAGCGTTGTGAATTCATCATCTAAATGATAGTGATGTGTTACAGTCGTGATGAAGACAAGCTGAGATCATAATAACAGTTTATCTGCTTCAACAGTTTCATAATAAATAATGGATAGATCGTTCCGCTATCAACTTCTGTTATAAATTAAACGATTTCCGCTGAACACGTAAATTGTTCTCAATAATACCAAAAATATTTTAAACTTATCATATTATAATTATTTGCAATATTTTAGTTATACTAAGTAATTTTATTTCAGCATTTGAGTATATAAAATCGAATCTAAATGCAAAATAGTATTAACATAAAACGATATGAAATAAAAAGTATTGATAATATTTCTTTGTCAGCATGTTTCTTAATTGAATTTAAATCTCTGCAAGGAACCTTTTAAAAAAACTTGAAAATGACTAATACAACACTAAAATAGTGTCAGTTTTGATACAACCTTTTTTACTAATTATAATATTTAATATTATACATATTATTTTTAATTAATAAATAAAAATGACTTACTCAAGAATTCTTCTAACACTGATAGTACACTACCTTACTTACTTACCATG